GGCGCAATTACAAGTAAATACGAATTGTGCCAGGGTCCTTTTGTTCTCAGGCACACACACACACACACACACACACACACTCAAAGACGCATATTACTTGAAACGGCAGCACTACAAATTTACATAGCATGCTTTTAAGCGCAAAGTCTATTAATGTCAAGTATACGCCCTCGTGTGGCACATTTATATGCAAATTAAAGGGCGACTGAGCAGCAATTTTTGTTACATTTTCTTTTCGCTTTATTTTTCTGCTATTGGAATATAGCTCGTAAGACGCCAAAACAGCTGTGTATCGCAAAAGTACGGTTAGTTCGGTTAGGCAGGTATTGTGGTTGCCAAAAGGTATGCTATACATATTGTGGGGTTACACTTTGAAAATTAGCTATATATGGTAATTTAAGACTGGTAAAGGTGTTATTGTTTCGCTAATTTTTAGAGTGTTTCTTCTGACAAATTTACTACAATAAGCAGGATTAAAAAGCATGAGCCTCTAGTTAAATTATGTACTTATAGCGTCTTTAAAATTGGAAAGCACAGCAAAACAATAGCTAACATAAAATAAAGAGGGAAAGTACAATAAAAAGGCTGTTCAAACATAGGAAACCAAAAGTATATTAAAACAAAAAACCTCTTTACTTCGGCTGCACCAAAGCTATAATACGCTTCACAGATGCGTTTCTTATAGCATAATAGGGTATAAAAAGATTTCTATATTGATTTTGATCGGTTAATTTGTACGGCAGCTATATGCCATAGTGGTCCTATCTGAACAATTTCTTTAGCGCTTGTAGCGTTGCCTTGGATAGCAGTCTATGCCAAATTTCGTGAAGTTATCTTGTCAAATAAAAAAGTGTTCCATACAAGAACTTGATGCTAATTGTTCAGTTTGTTTGACAACTACATGCTCTAGTAGTCCGATATCGGCGGTTCTGATAAATGAGCAGCTGCGTGCTAAGAAAAGGACGTTTGCGAAATTTCAAATCGGTATCTCACAAACTGACGGACGAGCCAACATGGCTAAGTCGACTCAGCACGTCACGCCATCATTTGTCCAAAAAATATTTTAACTCGAAATTCACTTTAAAAGTGAGTGGGCCGCCTTTAAATGTTAAAAAAAAAATTTTTTTTTTTTACTTTCATATTGTATTTTATAGTCTACAAATTTTACCCTAAGGCTAAGCAAAAAAAAAAATTTTTTTCTCGCTCCACCCGAATTGTGCGAATTCAACTCAATAACTTTATTGTTGCTTTTACATGTAATTCTTTTGACAAAAGAGCAGAAGCGAGCAGCGGAACGGCAAATAGAAGCCGTCTTATATTATATATACTTTATAGGCTTTGCGACGTTTCCATCTGGCTGTACGAAATTTTATGCAATACATAATTTAATTTTTTTATTTTAACACACCCGGTGCAGGCTCTAAAAACTAACAAAAAATTGCAAATAGAAAACTCAAAGCACTCCAATTCATTTGTCTAATATTCAGCAAAGCTCAACCACACATGCTTTTGCATATTTAGTTACAAACACTCGTATTGTTAGCATTTCTACGATAAATGCAGCCACATTTAGTTTCGAGTTCCACACTTGCGTCAAATCAAAACTATTCTCGACATTTGCATTTTGCACCCGTTATACCAATATTAACTTAGCTTTCATGTCAACGCCAATCATGCTATTTTCGTGCTTAAATCAAAAGGATATAACACTTTGAAGTATATGAATTTTGGCGCTTTGATTTGCATAGCACTTCATAATATGGACATCAATAATACTCGACACTATTTGCATTGAAATGTTGCGGCACAAAAGCGACAAGAAAATACTTGGAAATCCTGCGCCACTCATGGCAACTCAATTTTCCATGAATTTTTCAAAAGTTTGCACACATTTGCAAGCCTTGCAGCATATTTACATATACAGCTCATATATATTTTTTTTTTTGTTGCAGCAAAGCGCTGTTTGTACAGCTTTTTATTTCATATAAAGAAATATTTTTTCTCGCTTGCTTGTTTTGCGTTTGACGCGCTTCTGTTTTGCGGCAAAAAGCGCGTATTTATGTTTTTCGCGTGTAATTTTTTCGCTCTAACGCAGCCGCGCCAACACGTATGTAAGAGTAAACAAATGGCTGTTGATGGCGGCTGTTGACGCAACTCTTTTTGTAAACAAATAAAGCAAGCGCAGCCACAACAGCAGCAAAAACATGGGCAGCGTGTGTACACAGTCGCCGAAAGCAAGTGCAAGCGCAGCTGCAGGGGAGCACGGCACGGAGTACGCCAACAGCAGCAGCGGCAGCAGCTAACTGGCGGCGCTGTTGTCAGCAAGCAATCAACAAAGCATTGCGCTCGCCCCAGTTGCTGTTGTTGCTGCTGGCTTTATTTGTTTTGGTTGTTGTAGTAGTTTTTTTTTAATAAATTTTTTTTTTGTTTTGGTTGCTATTGACACAATTTAGTTATATGCATTTCCATTTTCTCTTTGTTACCAAGTTTTAATGCAAGTTTTTTCGATTTAATTTATATTTCTCTTATTTTTATGGAATTTGCTTAGAATTGAGTTTTGCATTCCTTCTAGCTTTGTGCATTTACTTCCACGAAAAGGCTGCCTCTTCTGCATGCTCGCAAATAACTGTACGTGGAGTCCCAGCAGAGTTGCTCAGAATGCAGTGTGTACCAGGAAAAGGTCATTAGGCAATCGTGCGAATTGCTGGTGTAGTTGTGCGTAAGCAGTATGCTAGTGCAGTTGCAAGTTTTTGAGAATCAAATGCCACGCTCTGATCAAATCAACGTTGCGAAATTAAAGAACGAGTCGATCTAACGTCTTGTCTATTTATTTTGTATTTGTGTCTATTTCGCGTCAAAATGAGAATGTCAATATTGTCTAGTGGAGTTGCCTAGTATATTGCGAATTCTGCGTATAATAATCCATAGTTATAAATTTTCTAGCCACTAACGCTTTTTCGACGGTACTAACATAAAAACGGAAAGCTCGTTATACAGTCAAAAGCTTAACTAAAAGCAGCAAAAATATTCGATTTTACATGCACAAATGTCAACCTTTGCTTACTAGCTGAGATTAGGTACTAAACGAGTCAAGTTGGATGAGTAATTTAGAATTTTGCCATACAACTTCATTTCTCAGCTGTCAGTTTGTGATTAAAATGCGCACAATTTACCGCAATTCTCAATTGAAGCGCAATTTTAGAGTTTTTCATGTTAGATTTACTTTTTATTTCTGCATTATTTTGCGATGTGCAAAAATTAATGGCAACATCACGTTTTCAATTTACCAGCCGCGTTCACAGTGTCTAAAATGCAAGCGGCGTATTTGCGCAACGCTGAGGGCAATGTTAACGACAAAGCAATAACAACCATTGCCGCTTTCACTTGTACCCGCGCCGTTGATATTATTGAAGTTAGCCAACACCGTTATTAGACGCTGACCTGACCGACCGACCAACGATTTTGTTTTTGTGCCCCAACAAAGTAGCGAAAAGTGGAAGGAGTTCGGCGTTTCGATAGTTTTTTCACGTTTTTCTTTCTAACTGCACCATTTCGAGGGCAATGGTTTGGTAGTTAAAAAAAAAAATATAATAAAAATTTGCAAAATGTCAACGGTGCGCTTTGTTGGGTCGTGTTATTCGGGCTGGTTGGGGGGAGAGCCGGTTGGTAGCGGTGGTTGTTGAGGATGCTTGGTTGCACGCATACCTAGTATTAGGTGAAACTTAATTGCATTTGCTTATTTTTCTGCTCGACTGCAGGGCTTAGCTCACATTCGTTCGTTGTTCAACGCTTTAGAATTTCGACGACTTTGCACACCACTTTTTACTGGGTCTTATTTTATTCAGCCAAAAAAAATTTTCAATTTAACAGCTTGTCAGTCAACCCTTTGCCAGCTCGCTAAGCAACATTTTTTTTCAACATACATACATACAAATATATTGCTTTACATTCCTAGTATGGAAATTCAATTACGACATTTTTCACTTTCCATTTAGTTATTTTCATTTTTGTTTGCCAGCCTTTTATTTAAAATGCAATAAAGCCAATTTCACTTAATTGACTATTTAAATTTTTATTTTGCAGTTGCGGCATATGCTGCGCTTCAAGCCAGTATCTCTGTCGAACGGTAGTTATTTGCAACGCTGTCGGTGCGCTGCCTGATTTGCTTAATTGACCCTTGTCAATAGGGGTCGCCTAGATTTTTCTTCGCGCTGTTGTTTTTAATGTATATATTGATAAACGAATTATATAATATATATTTATTTAATAAAAAATATTTGCAGAAAGTGTGGTGCAAAGAAATTGAATTTTTATATAAGTTTTTTGTTTGATCCAATAGGTGGCGCTATAATCAATATATAACTTATATAATGTATGTACATTCTTATATTATGTAATGTACAGAATGGAAATCAAAAACTGCGTCAAATGAAATATTTTGATTACGCAAACATAACGAAAATGTTTGAGTGTTGGAAATGTGTCCAAACCTAAACAAAATTACTGACAATTTTTCGCGTCACAAATAAACTGCTGGCAAACTCACACTTATTGACATATCGAGATCAAACTTCTTATGAACAAAAAAAAAAAAAATAGCTGGTATCACACTAGGAAAATAATATTTATCGATACTCTTGGCGCAGGCAGTTTAAATGGACCAGTCCGGATCAAATTTGATCTTGAATGTAGGCAAAGCTTTTCCAAGTTGGTATATGTGTCTAAGAAAAACCAAGAGTTCAGTCGATTTATTTGACCGATAGATGGCGCTGTATGTCGCAATATTAAAAATAATTATATTTACTACCGAAAAATGTGAAAGAAAGTTATCAGCTCGGCGAATTTTTGAAAAAAAAATTTAATTTCTTCAGAGTGGCTATATTTTCTAAACTACAATATTCGACTGCGAAACATCAATATAAGTCAATGAAGTTATAAATATATGAAATAATCTAAAAAAAACTATACAATTACTAAAAATCAGCACAAGTTTTACTTACATCATTTGGAAAGCCTTCAAAGACTCAGAAAAATATCTGAAAAAAAATCAAAAACAAAAATTAGTTATTAAAAACAAATTAAATTTAAGGTAAAAGTGATTAATCGTATAGAACAATAATCTTACAATTACAAATTTGAAAAGCGCAATTAAATGGCGCACACAAAAAATCTACGCAGACCTACTGCTGGGACCGCTCAAGCGAAACTCGTGTAGCGGTAACCCACTTACTACATTATAAACTTAATTATAGATGTACGCACGATAGCTGGTGCTAAAATCAAATAAAAATAAATAAAAGGCTCCGCAAAGAAAAAATTCAGAAAACATATATATATATAACTATTTATAACTGTATACGCACACAAGTGCACTATGTGTTTTATATATAAGTCACAAGTGGGAGCTACGAAGAACAATTTTAATAAAAGTTTTGACAAAACAAAGCTCTAAAGCTCTGACGCGGGCTAGGTAAACAAAAATAAACGGTTATTAAAGCGTTTCCGCTCGCACAAAGCAAAGGACACGCCTACTTATGGAAAATTGCAGAAGGCAGACGAAAATAATAATGAGAGTTTCACGAAAGTGCTGTGCCAAGGATTATTGTGAATTTAAACTAGATAAGACGTTACTATTTCTTATATTGCTTATAGCATAAGAGTGTATAAAAAGATCGTAATATATGCTATAGTGATCCGATATCGGCGGTTGCGACAAATGAGCAGCTTTTTGTAGAGTAAAGGCGCGTGCAAAATTTCAAATCGATATCTCAAAAACTGAAAGACTAATTCACTTATATACAGAAAGGCAGACAGACGGACATTGGTAGTGTAGTGCCTCGAAATTTCAGGCATTTTTATAGCCCACTGAGATATTATTTTCCACAAGCTAAAAGCTCTTACATAACAACCATAAAACTGAGCAAAAATATAAAGTTTAGTACCTTCTCACAAACTAACTGAACGAACTTTAGTGCGTCTCGCCGCAGCGCTCTGAAAATAAATGCAAAACCATGTGGAAAACTTGAAGCGAGCAAAATTGCATACTTTGTGCATAACGCTTTTCCAACAGCCGCCTAACTATGCGTTTATATGTGTGTGAATGTGCGCGGATGCCTTCAACAATTTGCCACGCCAAGCTTTTTATTGCTTTTAATACTTTTCTAAGCACTCAAAGCTTATGCCAAGTAACGATGTGGCGACTGTAAGACTACAACGACAGCAACAACAACAACAACAACCAACGAGCAACCTTTGAAGGCAGGGTTGGGCGCAGTGACTAGGTGTTGCTCGTTGCAGCAAGTTGATTGTGTTGCAGTTAATTTAAGTACGTGTTTTTGTTTTGCCAGTTTGTGTAGTACGAAACGGTAAAAATGCTGGAGTTGGCAATAAACGTAAGTATGTATGTATGCGGTAGGTTTGCCGGTGCATAGCTGGTGTCGACATGCACATGTTGCGCCCTCATTTTCTATGGCAGCAAGGTCACGACATAACTTTTACACTTTGCGCGGCAACACGCGATATAAACGCGTACATACTTGTATATACCGTTATAACAGTACGAGTATGTGTGCTGCTGTAAATATGCCATATTTACTTGAGCACAAGTTTGTGCATACTTATGCATGGGCAAGCGTCACATTTTGGTGGCAAGTGTAAAAATCAAGCAAATATATGCGAAGACATGTCCGATAAATTGTTATTGTGCGAGTAGTGGCGAGGCGCGGCAAATTCGCTAACTTATGGAGAGCTTTTGGTACACAAAAAGGAAAACTCAAGTAAATCACAAAAGAAAACAGAAATCGGTGTCAGTTAAAGTAAGCTTTAACAAGAAAATCGAAGCAAAAGGTACAAATTTACATAGCTATATAAATATATATGTATATGTATATGTTTATATGTACATTTGTAAGTAGGCAACCAAAGATTTATATGCTTCTCAGTTTTCTGAACGCTGCTGGCATAGAATATCAATACACACAACAATTCTTCGATTGTCAGCACAGCCACATTTGTAGAAATTGTTAAGCAGCAGCTCAGCCTCCCAATACTCTACTTAATCTCGGAGCATCTCGTATGACACTGAACTCAAGAAACAGTCACGAATGTGGCACTAATATAAATTCATTGCCACAAGTGGGGGCGTAATGTCGGCTATTTAGGCACAAAACACTTTGAAGCCTAAATTTAGGCGACTTAAATGCCAGCACACACACAACAAACTTGCTTTTCAAGCCCACGCAAAACCAACTTTAAGTACACTTAGCCAACACATACACATACAAGCATACAAATAAGTATTGAAATATGGGTGTACGTCAATTGAAAAAGGATACGGCACCCACGCTGCTCATAACCGAAGAGCTTAACACACATATACACACATAGATAGCACTGCATAAATATATATATATGTGTGTGTGTGTCACGCGGCGTCTGGCTGACTGCCCGACCCAGTTGTTCTAGCCCACCACAACGAAGTGCGGAGGCGGCAAGCAAACTGTGCGAGCACAACTTCCGTTCCCCCCCAGCGCTGGCACCGCTCAAATTTCAGTAGCCACCGAGTTTTGTGCGAGCACTGTGCGCCAATGCATGCTGGCCACATGTTGTGACATGTCGGTATTAGCTAACGTCGTGTTGTGAGGTTAAAAGGTTGTGCTGTCCATGTGGTTGACGGCAGCATACAATAAAGACAAACACACATATAATCCCACACATGTATAAAATGTTTGCATTTGTGTATGTGTGCGCATATTGATATTGCCTATAATGCTATTATAGCTTTAATTATGCGCCAACCCAACAACATGCATTCACAGTAAGTTGCCAACTAATATATATGCAATAATTCATAACTAAAACAGACGATAGCAATTTATAATTTTAATTAGACAACATTAATTAGAAGAGTGGCGCATAGTTGAATTGTTTAAAATTTACTTAGTTAATTGTTGTTGTTGCAAGTAGTTTTATGTTGGCATAATCAATGAGCCGCATATGTGTGGCAAACATGCAAACACAGTACACACATAGGCACAGCAGAGTGTAGAGGTCGACCTCATTAAAATGGTAAGCGTACGTCAGCATAAACCTTTATAAAACAAGAAAAACGTTAACTTCGGCTGCACCGAACATAAAACACCCCTCACAGTTGCATTTCTTATAGCATAAGAGTTTATAAAAAGATCGCAATCCTGATTTTGTTGGTCAGTTTGTATGGCAGCTATATGCTATAATGATCCGATCTAAACAATTTCTTCGGAGATTGCAGCGCTGCCCTGGACAATAATATTGGCTAAATTTCGCGAAGATATCTCGTCAAATACAAAAGTTTTCTATACAAGCACTTGATACCGAGCTTTCGGTTTGTATGGCAGCTATAAGCTATAGTGGTCCGATATCGCCGATTCCGACATATGAGCAGCTTCTTGTGAAGAAAAATACGTGCAAGAAATTTCAGATTGATCTCTCAAAAGCTGAGTGACAATTCCTATATACAGACAGATGGACATGGCTAAATCGACTCAGCTCGGCACGCTGATCATTTGTGGACATATACTTGAATGTAATTTATAGGGTCTCCGAAGTTTCCTTCTGGATGTTAGAAACTTTGTGGCAAACTTAATATACCCTGTTCGAGGTATAAAATTAAAACAAATATGATAAGCAAGAAAGAGCCTAACTCAAGAAACAATTTCTGCAATTATTCGACTGAATCCTAAAATCCAGGTGATGTCTGTAAAAGCTACTGAGCCTAAAGCTTGAAAATCGGTACAACTGAGAAGTGTTGATGTTAATATGTACCATACCTTTTTCCAACTTTTTCCATAGATCAAATAAAAATAAATGTTCAATCTTGCATCCTCACACCGTATGATAGAACTCATATAGAAAATAACTCATATAGAAATTCATATAAAAAATAACTCATATAGCAACAGAGAAGTTGTAATTTAATTAACCAAAGCAGTTTTTGTAATTTTTTTGTGGATACAAGCCTGTATACTTTATTAATATTCCTGCGAATGCCTAAAAGTCTGAAAGCCCGTTGTTTTAATCAACAGAACCAACCAACATGTTCCTCTGAACTTTAAGTGCCCGAATTTCAGGCTCTTTTCGGATCCGATCAAAAAAAAAAACAAAACAAGAAACATTTTTAACATAAATTTTTTTATATGTTTTCTATTTATAATTAAAGAGTAAAAATCAATTATAATATTTAAAAAAAAAAATTTTTTAATTCCAGGCTTGCAAAGTGGGGCCTGATGAAAACGTGGCGTGTCCTGGTGTGCAGGATATCAGGACTCCCAGTAACCCGAAATGGAAATGTTGAGTGATCCTCAAAGGGGCAGGATGTAGTTATAGCACTACAAAAGGATTTAGAAATTTTTTTTTCACAAAATGGCGGCTGTTTGAAAATTATGTTTCGTTATTTCCGTTTTTGCTGTTCGGAATTTTTTTAATTTATGTAAAAAAAAAATTTCAAAAATCCACTCGTTGTGCGCTAGTATAATGTATAAAGAAGCTCTGTATAAAATTTCAAGTAAGTCGTTAGAGTAGAACTTGAGATATCATGCACAACATTTCTAAAAAAGTAGATCAGAGAAAACCGACTTTAAAGCTGGCGCCGAGCTGTAACTCCGAAAATAATTGAAATTTCAAAAAAACTTTTTAGGGCCTTATTCTTAAAGGGTTATACTACAATAATATGCAAAAAAATTAAATTGATTTTTTTTAATTTGTAAACCAGGTAACCCACTTAAACCGCTTCTTAGCGTTTCTACGCACTTTGTGTATAGACTCCAAACATTACAGTCGTTTGGTAACAACTCGCCTGCTTTCCGCCTAAAAATACTTACCAATACACGGCATGCTGTTATCCTTTTTTACACCCTGCCACTGACACATAATTTTATGGCGTGGAAAGCAGTTTGTTCAAAACAACTCTGTGTTGAACTTCTATTATAATTACAACAAACGGCCGCGATAATGCACAGCAAATGTGGCAAAGTGCCCTCCGACGAGCTTTGGTGTAATA